AGGCAAGGTTTCGACCACAGTATTCCGTCTCTCGCAAAAACTTGATGTATTTCCCCAGACAAGAAAAAGCTAATGAAGACACGTTATTTTCTTGTGAGATTCACTACACAACAGGTTTTATTATACGCAATATTTATTCATACTTTCACCTGTATAAACAGAACACACAATCGGCGCATTTTAATAACTAGGAAAAAGTATTTCGCGGTCTGCTTTGTCTCTCGGCTTGGTATCAGTTTCTATGTAACAATTTTTTTTGATTTACAAAATTACACCCCATATGATCAGATTTAAAATAGCTGCGAATCGTAGCCGTAACATTACCGTCAACGAGGAGGAAAGTAGTCATTGAAATTCCCAGCTGTAATAATATGCGTTCATTTCGTCATCAGTGTGAGAACTTGTCTACGGTAGAACATCTTATCAAATCACCAAGATAAATCTACGCGTCACAAAGAAAAAAAGGAAACTGACCAATCAGGAAGGTCGGATCACTCACAACAGCCTCGTTAATTTTACGAACTAATACGAAAATTTTAAATAGGTTGATGGTAAATACTTCCATCAAAATTAGCTTCATACGCACAAACTATTTAACACTGCTTCCAAGTTAGAAGTTTTCAGATATTTCCATTTCAAAAAAATTTAAACCCTCAGTGATGATTGTCTGCCGTCTAAATAAAATCTGCTCTAGTCCACCCCTGGAGAGGACTCATTAAGTTACCATGGCAATGGTGTGGCTTGTCCAAAACACAGTTTCAGTTAATTTCAATTTAAATAGACATGAGTTTTTTTTAAAGATGAATTTGGTTTAAGAACCCCCTGAAATGATGGCAAAATTGCAGATCAGAAAAACCTCTCCCAAATATTTTAACTGATCAATAACACAAATTAATATTTACATCAAAATTTCTTCAATCCTTTCTACCTTCTTGATAACAACCATTCCAAACTGCTTTCATCCAAATGTCTGGTGGCAGTTTAATCAAGTCATTTAATTTACAAAAGAGTAATTCTAATTTTGGCACAACAAAGGTAAATAATAAATTCTTGAACTTAGTAAAGATGAGTGTCAGGCTCAATTCCTTAAGTGGTTCAAAAGCCTCTCAGCTTCCCTTATTCCAGTCAAATAAGCTCCATGAACAGTTCCATAAAACTGACGATGTGTTGCCTCACCTGCAAACATAAGTTGTAAAGCAGAGGCTTCCTTACAACCAGATGACTCCCCAGGGAGGGGTGAGGCCAGAGTATCAAAGTCACTCCCACAAGCTGCTTTAGATAAATATGTATATGATCCCCTTGTCCAAGGATTTGTCCCCCACTGGGTTTTTTCAACATTCACAATGGGTGGCAGTGATTCAAGACAAGTATATTCTTTGATGGCTGCAAGACACTGCTTCTCAAGTTCTTGAGGTGTGGTCTTTTCAATTTCTAATGATTTATTTCCTTGGAACCAAACCTGCAAAACATTAGACCCTGGACGAGTGGTGTACATTGAATAAAGATGATGAGCCCAAGGACAAATTGTTGTTGTTGATTCATGCTTGGGATTTTTCTTCTTGTTCCCAATAAGATGAAGGCTGTACTCATCCGTTGGCCAAAATGGTTTTTCAAATTCAATAAAAATCTTTCCTACACATCCAAAACCAAGATTTCTAATCGCATCTGTTTTGTCAGATGGCAAGGAAGGACAAAACAGTGTAGTGTGCTTTTCCTTCAGAACACCAAGGGAGACAGTTATGATCACATGATCAGCACAAAATGTTTTACCATTACCACAATGCAATTTGACTGGATAATTTCTTTTTTCAGCATCATCATTAAGTTCACTTGAAGTCCCCCAGTGTATTTTTGTTACCTCATGATTCAAATGGACACAGCCACTGTTTAATTGTGCTGCCAAAGCCTCAGTTATTCTGTCATAACCATCAGGAAGTGGACAATAAGCTGAACCATCCAGGTAAACATACTCTCCAAAGTCCTCAAGATTTAGGTCATTCAGTGAATTACAACCAACTGAATTGCATTCCCTTTCTTCAAGAAATAGAAACAGGTCGTGTTTTATGTTTTTGATCATAGCAGTGTCAGAGGTACATGAGTCTAGATAAGTTTGAAAACCGTGGGTAATGTAATTCCCTATTGTTCTTTTATCCTTTGTGATACCTTGGCAGAATGTTTTCATTTTTGTGATATCTTCTGTTTCAGTGATCAACTTTTCAAATACATTCCAAACCTCTGTTAGAATCTGATCATCAATACTCTGTTTAAGCTGAGAAGGATCTAGCTTTGGCTTAGCTCGACTGTCTTCATTAATCCATGCTATCTGTTGATCAACATCTGATTTCTGTAGGTATTTCAGGTCACAAGCGAGGTCAAAGATGGGATTTCCCACAGTTCCATGAATCCATGAAGCACCAAACTCAACTGGGTTATTTCCAACCTTGCCTGTGTGTATTCGCCCACCCAGTCGATCACTTGCCTCCAGGACACACACATCCACCTGCCCTGATTCATGTAACTTACAGGCTGCAGACAGTCCTGCTATCCCTGCTCCAATAACAACTACTTTTGGTTGGTATGACATTGCTGATTGGCAAAAAATAAATGTGTTAGTTTAATTCAAAGAAGAAGACACAACAAAAGCCCAATCTCAGAGAAAAATTAGCAGGAGGTATCAATCAATTCAAAACCATAATTTTAGTGCACAACACCATTTTGGGTTGTGTGATATTTCATACTGCCACTATTTACCATTATTATTATTATTATTATTAAATAATTATGATTTCCAGACTTGGAAAACTGAATCAATGCAAACAGACACAACATGTGATGAGTCATGGTCCAAAATGAAACCAAACAGTAAACTCAATAATTCTTGTCCAATTTAATGCTTTTTTCAATCCTGTTGAACAAATCATCGTTTGTACATAATGTTTTAATCAGACTTATAATAACTTGTTCAGTGGTGCTGTTGTTGTTTTCACATGTTATCATCAATCAACTTGATATTAAAATTGTTTTGCAGATATGAGCTGATGAGGGCAATGACGGTGAAGAAAATTAAGAAAAATATAAAAAATTACTTTTTAGACAAGCACTAAAACATATTTCTCTTTTTTTAAAATAAAAATGGTCAGTTACCATACTATAAATTGCAAGAAATAAATTGGATTTTAAATAAATGCCGCCCTAGTAGAAACGCCGCACTCGAATCACGAAAAATTTAATAAACGCCACGGCGTTTAATCGAATAAAAACGGTATACAATAAAAATTTATCAAAAAGAAAGCGAGCTATTTAGGCCCTTTGATAGACTAAAACCATTCTCTTTCACCCACTGACTGCGTTCGTCGAACAAATAATATAGAATGAAGTTTTAAGCTAGTGAATCGATAGAGTAAAGAATTGTGATGTAGGTAAGTAAACATTTTAGTCTAAAAATATTGGAAAATTTTACGAGACTACCGACTCTTCAAATTTTTATCAGTGTTATCAGAGCCATAAATTTGTTGATGCACGAAATAATCGGGGCAAAAATGGCCTTGAGATGATATGCGTGGTATCCATTATCTTCCTTCAGCTGAGGACTACCATTTGATTAATCTCCAAGTTCTTATCAGTCTTTTATCCCCGAAATCATTTATATTGTTAGTCAAAAGACGATTCCATACCTTATTCTTCGTTTGCAACTAATTTTTCGAACAAGTAATGGCCCTAACTGTCTCATTTGGGCCAAATTTGTTTTAAAGAAGACGAATCATCTCCATCGTGCCTTTTATGTCACGCTGTAGTCATGCGATGCTGTTATCTCTGGACACAGGTTCCTTCCGTTTAAACAACCACAGGCTCGTTCCCAGGGAACACGCTTGCTTGCAGGAACGGCATAATTTTTTGCGTTTTTCACGGGGTAATCTTTTAAACATTTTTTACATCTTTTATCTTCGTGAAGAAACCACTCCAGGGAATTCTGAGCCGGAAAATGGGGAAAAAAGTTCATTTATTTGTAACAGACATAGAGACAACCTTTACTCAAGGGGAATTTTCCCCCGAAAGAATTATTTCACTGGATGCTGCTGACACAAACCTCGATGTTCGGTGTGTTACGGCAAATTTGAGTTTCGAGGTAGTCAATCTGCAGCTGCGCAGGGTGTTCCTCGTATTAGGAAGTTATTCACATCGCGAACCAAAACACTTTTACTTCTACCAATCATCTGTAAGGAATTTACCATAACATTGTTCTCCAAAGGCCCTTGGAAAAAGGTAGTAATATCTTTTCGTGAACCAACATCATCACCTTCATAGTGCCCTTAAAAAATTTATTAATTCTCGAAAGTTGATTAAATAAATGGACACAGACCTCGACTGGTGAAGAAAAAAAAACACAAAAACAATAACACTGTCAGAAATGTCATTTTATTTTCACAAACTTTGCGAAGATATCTCGCACTCTTAGAAGCTGAGCCTTCGTTTTTGCAGATTGGTCTTCTACTTTCTCTTTTGTGTTTTTGTTTCCTTATTTGTTTGTTTGTTTTTACCTTGATGAACTACAAATTATTTTAGTTCTTTTTTGATTACAGGAAAATCATGAAAATGAAAGTAAAATTCTTTTTGTTAACCCTTTTTGTTTATTAGTTTGTTTGTTTATTTGTTGTTTACTTATCGTAATTTTTTTTTATCAATGATCCTCTTAGAAGGATAAAAAGATCAGATAATTTCCTCGTTGATCTTATGTTTACAAGACGTTCTGGAAAGCTGAATTTTCTGGAAATTTCTTTCACTCGTTCCTAATTCACAGTAGAAAGGCAATAAGCCATTGCCAGTTTCAATCCCCTTTCATTTCTAAAATGCGGCCAAGAGCAAAACCTAACTCGCGATAATGAATGTTATCTGCATGAAAATAAATTAAATAACACTCTTCTATCAAAGGTTCTACACTTATTCTCGTATTAAAACAAACACGTTCAGCTTCTCCTCGGTGGTCTCTTCCTGTAGTTTTCCTTGGAAAGAAAATTAAGAAAAAAAAATGGCCAAAAGTAAGATTTTGGAACAGCCTAACAACAATCTCATTTTAAAACCTGTATTTCTTTTGACCAACGGTCTTTAGCTCAACCGCTGGTCAAGGGGAACGACGGCCTTGAGTACGGGATAGACTTGAAGCTGGGCAGTTTGAAAAAGTTGAAAACGTTTTCTCGTCCCGTGGTTATACCACGTATAAGAAAGTGTTAATGTCCTCCTCATCTCGTCGGAGATACTTGTGGTCTATTAGCCACTCGATCTGTTCCTTTATCATCTTCTTCTGGGGGATGAACATATTCTTAAGAATTTCTACCAATTCTGTCTGAAGAGCGGCGTTCGTTATTCTCTTTCTCATCTTCATTATCTTCACAATCGCTTCCTACAAAACGGAAACAAAGAAGAAATTCAAAAAACAAAATAGAGAAACTCAAAATTCAAGAGTATTTCAGTAGGAGGATTGCATCAATCTATCCACAACAAATCCTTGCATACTCAAGTTATTTCGAGTGATAACAGGCGAAAAATGTACCGTGAATTTCTCAATTCCTTCCTTCGCCTCTTTTCACCCTCCTTTCCTGCATTTCCATCCGTAGACTGTTCGCTCGCTTCCTCGCTCGTTCCTTGATATCTCCCTTTCATACTCTGTTTCTTCGTTTATCTGATCATTTGTTCGCTCGTATATTTCTATTATTCACACACACACACACACACTCTCACACATACCCCTCGCTCTATTAAGCCACGTGTAGCTGAACCGTGATCTCAGCCATAAAAAACACTACACAGTTTAACCAAACACCTTTATGTCCACATTACCACATACTTACACCGTCGAATATAGCCTAACTATACTTACCTGTATTCTCAGAATTCTTAGAGCCACAATACCATCATTCTCCTCTTGCTTTGCCTTCTCTGTCGAAAGCTGTAAGCGGCCTATGAGATTCACTTTACCTCTTTTCTGGACTTTGCTATTTTTTCTAAAAGAAAAAAAAATGAATCAGCAATTGTTACTCGGTTAAACATCATTCCTATTCTTTGGTTTTGTTTAAGGAGCATTGATTGGTAAGAAAGAATTAAATAACTGGCATCACTTTCTTAACCAATCAGCAAAAATAAAAAAAATTGAAACAATCACAACTTGGCAACGTGGATTTCCCGGCGCACACTGCGCTTCACGCCGATGATGAGTGATGACGAGGGAGGTATGGAGCGTGTGGCGTAATGACCCGACCCAAACCTTCCTCGACTTTTCACTGCTCCATCACTATCGCCCTGTTAATTATTTAGCTTCGTTTTCCTTACTGAACGCCTGCAACACGCTAACCTTCTACTTTCATCTCAAGCAAACATTCGACGTGAAATCATGTCAGAATCTTTAACTTTTCAACTTACATTACTGCGAATTCCTGATTGACCCAGAATAACGAACTGTCTGTAAAATCCTTTGGTGACTTGGCTTCCGGTTGACATAAGAGAATTTGTCTCTTGAGCTTGGCGAAAGCAACTAGGGACTGAAAGAAATCAACAGTTTCATCAACGATAAAAATTTCTCAAGAATACGGTACATACAGTTCAGCTTAAAGCGTGACACCAGATTCCAGACGGGGACTAGATGTGCTAGAACACTTCTCAGTGTAAGTTTGCACCGGGTATGTTCAACTTTCGGTATTTCAACCCGCCAGTAAATCGATCCCCGGTGGTGTCATAAAAACATGAACAACACATTCCTTAGGTTCCTACAGTACTTCGAGCTCTTCTTGCTGGCTGAAATGAGTTTCGAAATAACGTGAATCTACGGCACATTTTTCAGCGTTACTCAAATTTATACTCCATACAAGGGAGAAAAAACAAACGAGCAAGGAAGCAAAAACAAAAAGAGGAACAAAATTTAATGACCTGTAATACAACTTTCCAGAGGACCGTTTTAAAAAACAAAAGAAAAAAATTGACTTACCCAAAGCGTTCGGCGGAGTTCTGAATCTGGAAGTTCAGAAGCGAGCCTTTAAAATTAATGACAGAAACCCAATAAGTTAGAGAGAACTAAAGTACCCCGTTTACCGGAGCAGGGATGCAAAATTGAAAGGTGATTGTAACACGCGAGACTCGAGATCAAAGTCTTTTGGTATTGCAGACAAATACGATAGCGCGCAAACTTACTAAAAGGCATATTTTTCTGAGACATTCCACAAAGAATTTCAGTGTGTTATTTTGTGAAATTTTCCAGGATTTTCGTATGCTTTGCCTGTAACCATATACTTGAGAAGGGTAGAATGGTCACAGAGTGGTTCTTCTTCCTAGAGCACAACGTAACAAGCTCGACCACGGCTTGAACGCGAATATCAAGATCCGCTAAAAGCGCTTTGACCATTAACCCTCTTATACCTAAAGGTGACCAGCATCTAATTTCTCCTTACAATATCTCCCCTGAATCAAACATCAAGGTCACGAGAAAAAAAGGAAATGATCACCCGACACCAACTGACTAAAGCAGCTCTTGATTGTTTAACAGATTCTCCTTACTAGCACCCTAGGAAATGTATAGAGAACAGTATGGAGAATATTCGTACTGATGTCAGGGAGTGCAGGGTCAAGCTATTGGGTCTTACACTAAGAGCAATGACCTTAAGTTCTCGAAGGAAATCTTCTCTTGTGGTCGTTCATTCCAAGCGAAGAGAACAGCCATTTGAAAAGTCGTTACTTCCAGGTCGAATTTTCCTATTTTGTTGGCGAAAGTTATCTGAAGAATAGAACAAACATTTACTTCAGCAACTTGAAAGCTGATTTATACAAACAGAAACGCACTGCTTCAAAAACCGTTAGGTTTTCAACCTCTCCGCAAATCTTTCACTTTTAGTAATTTCGTTAGTCTCTTCCTCGTCTTCAAAGAAGTAGGAAAAAGAAATAAAAAAAAAGCAGATATACACTGGACGTACTCTAAAACAGATAGTCTTAAACTTGAAACTACTTTCTGCTTTCGCCAAATCCTTTCCTAACGATAGCAGCAAACTTTTCGATTTCTTGTCTTTAAACCGCGGCGGGGGAGGGTACGGCAACACGTAGGCTAAACAAAATATAGCTCGAAGAAAGGATACGAAACATTCAAGAAAAGCCATCAAAAGAAAAATTCACTTACAACTCCGTTAGACATTAAATGATGCCATTGTAATTTGCGACCACTATGGTTCCTCCTATAAAACTCTTCTACTTCCGGAATATAGTCTTCAAGCTGAAAAAACAGTATCAAATACGTCAAACATTTTCAAGTGTACCATGACAAACAATACCCCATATGCAATGTTATCTGCAAACAACATTATGGACAACTTCTTCCTGTTACTACTAATTCCTGCACAAAATTTCAACAAAAGCTTTATTACCAGCATCAAACAATTTTAAAACTTACGTCGGTCGGGAGAGAAACAGGAATTCTCTCTGAAGCTCTTGACCAAGCACCCGCATTCAGAATCTTAATGTTAACCGAGTCTGAAAGATAAGAAATAAGAAGAATGAAATTACCAGAGGACGATCACCACCCATCAAATTTTCAAGAGCAAAAATTCCTTCTGTGCTACTTCGTCACCAAGCTCTAGTCTAGTATTATTATTAGCGATTAAGTGATGCCGAAGGTAACAATCTCCTGCAAATATCGGTCCCTTCGATGTGTTGTAACGGATTTGTAAAAATACACTCTTTCTGATAAATCATTAGTGAAGTAGACAAAGGTCGCCAAAATATTTTGCTACCCGCCATGGCGACCACATCAATCACAGCTGGGAGCACTGCCATTTTTCTCATTGAAGAAATGTAAAATGGTTTCCGTGTTTACATAGCCTGATGTAAACACGCGGGAGGTTGGGAGAACACGAGATAAGCGTAGGAAACCACGACGCGAAGCAAAAGAGGAACGAAAACCGTGTTTACATACGCTCGTGTAAAATGGTTTTATGGCCAATCAGAGCGCGCGTACTAATTGAATTATTTTATAAAATACTCTGGTATATACTACATGGTGTGCTCACAGTTTATACGCTTGACTCAGAGGTAAAAAGCATTTGATGACAAACAGCAATTTACCTGCAATATCGCCCTTGTCTTGGTATTCTTTCTTGAAGCCCTGGTTTAGATCATTGCTGACTTTTATGTCCTGGAACATACGGGCTAGTTTGTTTATATAGTCGGCAGGCATTCCTACATCCTGTTGGAACAGAAAGTTATCAACACCTGTTAACTAACGACACTGCCTGAGATCGAAATCTAGTTACTCAAAATATTCCAGCACTCACGAATTATGTATGATGTAAATCATACAAGACCTGATTCTTAGACGTAAGCTACAATTTAGAGATAGTTTGGATGCACTTGAGAGGTTGCTAAGCACGAAAGAAGCTTAGAGTCGCACGAGGTGATAGCCGAGTGCGACTCCAGCTTGTTGAGTGCTTAGCAAACCTCCCAAGTACATCCAGACCTCGACGGTTGCACGCTGCACGCGAACCATTTATTTCATAACATTGAGACTTTCAGAATCTTTCGTTTAGTGTAGAAAAAAAAAAAATGAAAACAAAATAACGTCAGCAAGCAATGCACAAGCAAATGGTTCGAGCATGATGGCTAATCAGAGCGCGCGCTTTTGCACAGTTGTGTTTTAATTTAGAGCATTCGAACACTAAGGAACTTAGGCACAAAGTTCTTGTAGCCTGCGAGCAACCTTCCACTTGTGCTGCCACATGAGCTACAAAGCTCGACTTACTCTGAGCCACTCCACCATGTTTTCTTCCATTTCACTGTCTGCTGATGTATCCAGGATCAATCGCCGAGTCAAGTGTGCTTTGTGGTACCTTGAAAGCAAATACAATACATAGATTAATTATAAATCAGCAATGGCACATTTCAAATGTAGATTTGGAGAGTATGAAAACATAGAAAGCCAGGAGAAAACCCTCCAGCAAGCCTACACAGAAAACGCTCGATTTTCCGGCCCACGCGTGGGTGACTCAGACCGGCACGAGCGAGTTTATTGCGTTTCAGCAGAACGAGGGCGATAACCGACAAAAAACCCAGTCTATGCGCGGAAGAGGATGTGGTACTCGATACCAGGCCACATAAGAGGGAGGGAGAAAGATGCTCTTACCAGTGCGTCATCCAGTCAAAGATAAAGCAGAATAACGAGAACTTGACGGCTTTGGGCTCAAGATTTAAAGATGCGTAATATCTTGAAACAATGCATGTACATCAAAACACATTTTAAAAGTAATAAATAGGCGCATTGGAACTCCTCCCATACCTCATGAAAACATCTTTGTTGATGACGTACTTAAGAACCAACAGCTGGAAAGGAAACAGTAAATGATAAGAACAGAACTTTCTATCTTCGCACTGAACGAGAAAACGTGTTTACAATTCTCCGCTTCTCGTCCTGTCTCTGTTTTCTCACAGAGAAAAAGATTCCTATATCTGATTTTTAATCCGTCCAGCGCGCTAACCCTTAAGTCACCGTTTTATCTACATCACCACACGTACAAAAATCACGGAGAACTTACAACATCTTTCAGCTTTGCTTGGATTTCATCGGACGTTAGCTTTTTGCTGTAGGGCGTTTTCCTAAGCAGCATATCGCAGAAATTGGCCAGCAATTCTGGACATCGAGACTCGGGCTGTGTCTTGACATTCAAACCACCACTTCCACCCCTGGTAAGCAATAAAAATAAGAAGAGAACGAAGTGCAACCTTAACAAAGAGAGGGTAGCAAAGGGTTTAATACGTGACACGTGATTAAGCCCAAAGTGACACTTGACTTTTACGGAAAGGAGAGCGTCACTCGTCAATTTATGAACCTACCCGAGGCGATATTTGCCCCATAGAATATATGTAACCCGTGAAAACCTCAAGATTTCCCTGAAATCTTATCCACAAGAAAAAATATTTAAGGTTTTTCTCTTAAATACGTGACGCAGGAATATCCTTAAAATTCGTGCCTGGAACGAGATTAGACCCCCCTCCCCTTTCCTTTGTTACCTTCCAAAAAGCTGTGCTCGTAAGATTAATGATAGAGAGCCATTTATAGCTTTTCTCTCGCCGAAGTATCCAAAAGTAAAACGGAGAGCAAACAATAGATAACTTACAACAGGCAATCTTACCCTTTGTTCTTGTTGGGGAGTTCCAACTTGAAAATTGTACTGTCATTCACAACTGTTTTAAAGGCCTAATATTTGCAATAAATTAACAAAATATGAAAATTTAATTTAACGCTTCACGATCGGTGAAAATGAATTTTGATTTCTCAGGAGTTTGGCCATCACAGTAAAATGTTCTTTCCTACTAAGTTATTTTCCTATGGAAATGTTAAGTACTCTGTCTTAATGTGGATTGGATCAGATTTTTAGCGGTGGTGCGGGTAACAACTAGTCCTTTTTCCAATGTCTCCAAGCCAAATTAGAAGACGAGAAAACCCTTGGAGCAAGAATTAAACCCAGGCCCCAGCTGTGAGAGACAAGCGTTCTCTGCTCTGTACCATGGAGAAATTTTGGTCACGCCAAAAGATTTCTTGTGCTGCCACAGTTTTTCCCATTCACGAACCTTATCTCTCGCTGTGAGGAATCGTGGATCATCATTGAAAGCTTCTTTAACCAGTTTACTGAATCTGTTGAACAATGTGAGCAGTTCCTCCACATATTTCTCGGAATCCTGTAAACAAAAACATAATCTATATAAAATGAAAACCATAGGGGATCAACGCTCTTTAACGGATTAGTTTTGGGAATTCAAAGGGCTTGCAAAATGCAAGAAGAACAAGGTTTCATCCCAAAATTTAAAAGCTAGAATACGTGTTTAGTTACAGGACAATATTCCGCTCCTCTAAATGAAAAAATTTACCCAGACCATTAATAATGAGGCAGAGACTTCTAAGTGGATGCTGAAGAATGCTACACTCTTCACATCTTATGAACAACATAAAAGACAACTTCCTTTCAAAAGTTAGGAGGTTAGTAACCAGAATACTATCCATGGAAAAATTTCCAACACTGTTAACTTTCAAGAATATTGAAGAGCAACAGTATTGGTGCAAACAGAAAAACCCTCTTGACAAAATGTTGTATTTTACAATTTAGATCTGTTTGCATGAAACAGGATTCAAGCCAGCAACAGTTGTTTATTAAATTTGCATCATTTTCAGCAAGTACCAAATTGTCAGAGACAGTGAATTTCCAATATTGGTTGGGGGTGGTGTGTTATTCAAGGTTGGAGGCTTAATCAAATTAATTACAGTATGCATCCCTTACAGATGTTATAGTGTCGGCGCAGGCTTTCATATCATCAAGACCTGTAGTGACGATGTAAGACTCTAAATTGGCTATCATAGGATCTACTCCATTTCGTACACGATCCATCAACTGGAACATTAGAAGTAGTTCTGTCAAAAAAAAAAGGATTTTCTTTAATCAAAATATCATCAATTCTACACTTCTTGTGAACTTTTATCATCTGCCATTGGGCACTTTTCAACAAATATAAAATATTTGACCCATGACGTCGCAAAGTTATAAATCTACAACAACAATCACAAATTCACCACTTACTCTCTGTTTCATTTGCAGCAATCATTCCAGGGCACTCAGCCAAAATAGTCTCCTTAAAATTTGCAACCAGAACACACACACATCGCTCTGTAAGCTATAAAGCAATAAATGTCACACACAGTTAAGTTACTTCTACATGTAATCAAGTTCCTGACATAAGAAAGTAAATCTTTTCATCAATGACAATAGGAAACAGATGCAAAAAAAGTTAAAGAAAGTGATGAATAAAGCAAATGCAAGACTAAATATGAAATCTGTAAACTAATACCTAGCAAGAATAAGAGGGATGGTAAGTTTTGAGCTTGGTAAAGAAAGAGAGAAAGATGTTTTTTTTTTGTCTGGACATGAGCATGGGACAAACAAAAGATTTTGAGTCCCCATGAGGAATTGTACCTCGGACCTTTGGATTCCATGTTCCAATGCTCTACCACTGAGTTACAGAGACTCTAAGATGAGTGCATGAGGCCCATTACAAAGTTCATATATGACACACATCCTGCATACTGCCACATGTAGGATCAGCAATGTCAATAGCTTTATGATTACACATAGAAAAAGAGATATCTCTCCAAGGCTCAGAGGTAGAGCATTGGAGCACAAAATCAGAAGGTCTGTGGTTTGATTCCTGATGGGGACTCAAAACTTTTTCTTTGTCCCATGCTTGTGACAAGAAAAAAAACATATTTCTCTCTAATACCTGGCCATTTGGAATGTCAGCTTTTGGCAGTATTCTACTTACCACTGCAACTGAGTCACAGCCCTTCCTTGTTTCAAGGTATCGCACGGCTCTCTGCTCTTCTTCTTTCAACTTCATTTCAGCCTTTGTTATTCCATGAAGGAAAAAACATTTGATAAAATTACAGTGTGATCAATGGCTGTATGGCTGTCAGGCAAACTTTGTTTCCCACAGAAGGAAGAGAAATTGCTACAAGTACTCCCCTTGTGTACATGTAGGTCCTTATTGGCATGTACAATGTATTATGTTATCACTTCCTCAAACTCCTAAAAGGCACAAACCTCAAGATAAGTGTGGCAGAAACATTACGATAACTTCTGCAAAAGGGTTGCACCTCAAATCAAGAGTATACTTGGAGGCTGCATTTCATTTTCCTGAGCACAGTCAAGTTTTTTCTCTCTCTCAAGAAAAGTCCCAGTTCTTGTGAGGCATCCATTACCACTCATACATGAGGCAAAAACAATTATTCAAGATGACAACTGAAGGGTCATTTGCAAATTTAAATGTATAACTACTGCAGTGTAAACACTTTAATAGAACATCAGAGGACCCTAGAGAATCAGAAAAGTTAGAGGCATCATTAGCTGTTAATTTAACAAATCCTTACATATTTCATGTAATTTTGTACTCCATTTTCCTGAAGATATACAGCTGCTTGAGTTTTGTAAAATTCCTCTGTGGCCTCAGAGTATGCCTTCTCGAAATTCTCTCTGTATATTTTCAGCTTGTCCAAAATTTCTGAACTAAGATTAACTGCAAAGACATGAATTTGCAAGAAATGAATGTAATAGTTGAGTATTTATCCCATAATATCACTGAAAATAAAATTTAAAAATTAATTGCTACAACAAACCTGGCTGACTTACTCACTTACTCACTGGCTATCCAACTTGCTGGCTCACTGGCTTATATACAGCTAACTCAAAGACTCAATGATAGACTCACTGTCTGACTCACTGACTACATCATGATAATGCAGAAAGGAATGACAAAGTCATTGTGAGGTAGAAAGGAATAACAAAGACACATTCAAACCATTTGCTAGACACTTTAATCTCCCTGATCCCTAATCCCTAAGATACTGATGATAATACAATCTGACAGACAGACTAAATGACTCACTAAGTTGACCCACTGACTGATTCGCTGCCTCAATGACTCAATGCTCAACACTAAACGCTGTTATTATGTATTTGTCATTAACACTAACAATCTTTAAGTTAGTGCATTTAAAGATGACACTTTCCTTACCATATGATTCTCTAACACCAATAACAAGCTGAGAGTCAAAAGCCTCTCCATTCCTCTCTGCATGAACCAACTTCATGGCGCTTGACTGCAGTCTTGATTTTATCGTGGAGAATATACCTTCATTCCAACTATCCAACATCAACTACACCAAAAAAAAGTATCTCAGTAACCATACATTTATTATCAGACCACAATTGTTTCATTCTTTCACTACAGAAAAATGTTACACCTTCTGGACTGTTATTCCATCAGTGAGAGGTCTTTTGCTTGCTCCTCCACCAGCTTTTCCTTGTAAATTTGACTCCAATGTGCCAAAAGGTTTAGGGAGATAGTTACACTGAGTGAAAAACTTGGACCATTCACCAATGTAGGCTCTCAACAATGTGGAGTCATCTTCGTGCTTCAAAACACGCTGAAAGACAAGATTATCAGAAGGATAAAAAAAACAGTTGCATGGAAAAACCTCAACCCACTAAAAAGATTTCACAGTATGTGATAGTGCTGGCTGTCGATCAATTTTAAATGGTGATGGAGAAGTTAGCAATTAGCCCACTGTGTGTGTGTGTTTAAATGCTTGGCAGTTCTGTGAGTTCTGAATTTCTGTCAGTATTAACCCTTTAATCATAAAGATTGACTGGCGTCTTTTTTTCTCCTTCCAATGTCATGAGAGTTAAGGAAATGATCACCAATCAAAGAAACTCTTGATTGTTAAACAAATTCTCCTACTCAGCCTCTTTGAAAATGTATCCACAAAGAACAGTATGGGGAATATATATGCTGATGTTAGGGTGTGAGAGGTTCTAAAATAATTATAATTTTGCTATTTTGAATATCTCAGGCTCCCATTCAAACCAGCTTGAAGTTGAACTGGGTTGGCTTGATAATAAATATATATATATATATATATAAATATTATGAGAGGAAAAAAGGACGCGACTACATTTCCCGACAAGCCTGTTTCGTGAATCGCTTCACTCTTCAGGGGTTTAATGAAAGAATATTCATGTGACTATCGTTTATATACTTAAATAATTATTTATATACTTATATAATTATAAATTTTCCTAGTATATAAACGATAGTCACATGAATATTCTTTCATTAAACCCCTGAAGAGTGAAGCGATTCACGAAACAGGCTTGTTGGGAAATGTAGTTGCGTCCTTTTTTCCTCTCATAATATTTATTCTGCTCTGCTTCAACGTATTGAGCACTGTTCCACGCAAAAATCGACTTGCAGACTTCCTATATATATATATATATATATCTTCCTATTACACTCCATAACACTCATCAACCATCAATTCTAATTACTCAAATTAATTCATTCTAAAAAAAATACACCTCTTGAAAAAGAATTTTTGGATCTCTATGTTAAAAGGATATCTATATCTATGGTAAACCATCATCAAATATTCACTCTTATTCACATTAAATGGTCATAAAGTGGGTCATTTTCAGTCCCTAAGGTAAAATTCAGGATTAATTGGAATGATGGCTATCCCAAAACAGTGATTCACAAAATACATGTTTATCTGTTGGACATCTACAGTGACACTGACCTCTCAACCCTCAGGCTGATGAAACACTTATCTTACCTCTTGTACTTGTTTAATAAAGTTGGTGACTTCATCTTTCAAAGCTTTGTAGATTTTCTGGCCCCCCTTTTCATCCCAATTACATATTTTGTGAACATCCCTAAGTGTAACAGAAAAGAGAAGTTAAACAAGAGAAAAATGCATAAACAGCAAAAAGAGAACTTATACAGACTTTAAATTTTAAGAAAATGTCATTTTGTTGGCGATCAATTTTTCACTGAAAGAAGGAGCAATGGCTTGCACAACTTGACTGTAGCTTAGGCACCTGTGATAGGAGTCATAAGTCTTAAATTTCAAAATTTACCTTGCAGGTGACCTTTCCAAGAGAATTTGAATGATAATGCTTATTTACATTTGATCAGAATTTTTCCATTTTAATGTGGCTTAGTATTGTTATGGTTTTATGATCATCACAAAACCAACACCAACTTCTAAAAGGAATCCTTAAAGAGACTTTAAGAATGAAAGATCTAATTTTTATAAATCTATATCCTTGAAGCTGACAAGATCCTTACAAAATAATGTAAAATTGTTGGAAGGTCTAGCAGTTGATCCTGAACCATTACTCCCAAGTGATTGACATATAACTTCTCCTTATATCATCTATATATTATACAGCAAACAGGTAATAAGAAAACAAACTTAACAGGTAAAATTTATCATCTTGATTTAACACCAAATTCTTGTCATTGATTTATGAAAAATTGTGTGAGAGGGAAGAATTAGCAATCACAAAATGCCCTTGAAGCTTTTTGTTCCTTGAGGATCATTTTAGATCCTCTGTAGAGTTTCGTAGTTATCCATAAAGTTCATATTAAACAGGCATCTATATCTCACTGCATATGGAAATAGTACCATGGACAGCTGCAAGAATTGATACCTAAAAATAGTGTTTTTTCGTTAAAAAACTAGAAAATAAATTTTTACGATCATACGAGCGAAGGAACACAAATTCATGTTCAGGTTAAAAATTTTAAGATTAAAAGGTGTTGTAAGCCTTTTTGAACGTCTCAGTCATTTGTAAAACTCCTTTAGAATCATAAGCGATTCCGCAGCATCAATATGTTTGTCGATCAATTTTGTTGCCAGCCAAAAATTGAGACCATTAAGATAGTGACGAAGAGAAAATTATGAATTCTCTGGTTTAAAAACAATTAAAGGTCTAATTGATTCTTCGAACAAAGATAACTCTGTTACAAAAGATCGCCTTCCAATTGCCATGAAAAACAAAAGTACATGTAACCGTGATATAATTTTCGGCCTACCAAAAGAGATTCTGCCATTCCTGCGTGGTGACGGCTTGTTGTTTCAAGAGTTTATTCACTGTGGGCTTAAGTTCGTGCCATTTGTCCTCAAACTGTACTCCGGGTTTCTTTGAATTCAACAGTAAAGTGGACATTTTGTCGACATTTTCCACCAATCTTGATATTTCGTGACAGATCAAGCTAACAAGACATACCTTTTGAAGATAAACCGCTGACTACTTTAAGGCTCTGACTTTGACTCAAAGAGCTCTGGGAACGAGAGCTATCACTGGCACAAATTTTGCAGTTTATAAAAAGTATTATTATGAACTCTTCTAAGAACTAATACTTTCTTATCAAATAGCAGAAAGCAAACAGAAAAGAGGTGCAATATTTTTCATCTTTTTTATTTTAAGGGAAGGGAAGGGAGTGGTAGTGCCATGCCATTTCACGATATTATGACCGCGAGTGAAAAATAAGAGGCCACTGGGAACGAGTTACAATTTGCACAAAAGTTTCAAGACTAATCTTCTTTTGTTCTTGCCCACCTTTGGAGCGCATTCGATGTCTTCAAACAATTTTTTTTATTAAAATACATTTGTATTGGGCCTATTGGATATACAGTGGGGAATCTCACTCTAACAGCTGGACGGAATGGCTTGGTGGATACTTCGAAATTCATAGCTAAATGAAATGTAAATGGTCTCACTGCCTGCTTAGTCACTTGCTTGGCAACTTTTCGGCAACTTTAAGAATTCTCGGCAACTTTTGATTTTTCAGCATTTTAAGCATTATTTTAGATTTTTTCCACATTTATCAGCTTTCCAAAAAACGGTCACCTATAACTCAGCTAGTTTATACTGTGTGGGGACCCCACGAGGTCAGTGGTATCACGTGGCAGGTTGTAGCTTGTCGCAAGCCCTTACTATCCGGCTAAAAGTGGATTATTCACATGTTATGCATATTCTAATATATAATTTGTAGTATCTATGTTCTATTCTAAAAATTAAATTTTGTTAAGAAACAAAGTGCGAATAAAATCTGCATCTAAGTTGAGGGATCTAAATCACAAAAAAACCAACTTTAAGCGCAACCAAGTAAATGAAAAACACCCACATTTCGGCAACTTTTGGGGAAAAAACAGCAACTCTTCAGCAACGTTTAGACACTTTTATCAGCAACTTTTTAAGATTTTTTGGGCAACTTATGGCTATGTCTACCCACTGCTAAACTCTTATCTTCTTTCACACGCAATATCAACACGCGTTCTTCGCCCTGACGAGGGGCTAACGCTTTAGAATCTCTCAACGGTGATAATTTACATAACCAATTCCGTTGATAGAACCAAATTAAGTTGTAGTACCCCGCCAACGAAGCACCGCAGTTTCTCTAGTAATCTACACCCTATGGTAGCGTTTCACTCATTTCCTTTCGTAGCAAAAGTTGATCAATGTTTTTCATTTTCTTGTCGATGATACCAAAGAATATGCAAATCAGGAAAAATCTTCTTTTTATTGCAACCAGCCTAGTAATGTTATATTTCAGCTTTGATTTTTAGGAAAAACTTGTTGCAAGTTTTGTCGTTAACCATAATTGCATTGCAGTAAATTAACATTGTAGTTTACTTCCATTTAAAGGGATAAGTTTCCATATCATACAATTTAACATGATTTCGACCATTTTTCAAGTTAACGTTGCAAAATACTTTAAAATTAAATAGAAAAGTCAAAACCTAGTCGCGTTAGTATTAATCTCTGCCATAAGTGATAATAATGGCGACCATTATATTCAGCACTTTAAAACAATTTGTAAGCTAGGTTTACGATTTACTGATTCAAGCTGAATTTTTGTTACAAGAGGCTTTTTACTATCGCGATTCATACCGGGACTTCGTTTGAGTATCAACAATAAATATATACTTTTGTAAGCCTCCCGACTAAGACAGAAAAATCCCTAAGTTACACAAAGAAAAACATACGCTTCTGCCGAGGCGTTCTCTTTCCGAATTCAAACCGACTAAGATCATTTACTTTTAATTAAATCTTTCAATTCTTCGTCTTTGCACATGCGTAAATAACCAGTTATCCATTTCATGACGTCACGAGTTATATTTGTCCAAGAAGATACTTGACCAATCAAAAGTAAATTTTATTTTCTCACTCTTTGTTGTAGTTGTCGTTGATCATTTTTCAGTGGATATACATGTAAAACTTCGTTTTATTTTTTATTTATTTATTTATCTTCCAGTTGTCAATCAGTAGAATTGTTAACCCATTCAAGCTTCGATTCTTTCGAGTCCTAACTTGAATAGAAACTCTTCTTTAGCATCGTCTACGCTTCCTTTCCTTCCTTCTCTTCTGGCTTCCAGTTTCCTAAGCGCGCTGCGGTAGCGCGTTTTCATTCGAAAATCTACAGCTCCATGCGTCGGACTCGATCTTCGAGGAATCAGTAAAGGGTGAACCTGTTTAGATTTTGGTGAAGACGAAGAATTTGGCGATAGTTTGTCTCTTTCCAAATCCCGTTCAAGTCCTGTCTCCTTTTCTGAAGCCAGTGGGCTTCGTTTTTCGGTTAAAATTTCTTTTTGGTCGCGTTTAGTGATTTCATCTCTCGGGTCCTTTTCGTTTTTAACCTGTACGGCTGTTTTTTCGTGCATAAATCCATTTACGCGCCCGAAGTCCATAGTTCTCCGCCTGTCGCCATCGAAACTCCCAGGATGAAGTCTGTGATCGCTTTCAACAGAAGAACACCGAACCGGGAATAAATTAGAGAGATCTCGATGGTGTCCGAATGACCACAGAGAGTAGCGATCCCTGGGTGAAGGAATGTGAATCCCGTTTGTTCCGTAAGCATGAGACACAGTTTCAGGCGCGTTGACCCGTCGGTGGTAAATTCCCGGTGCTCCTTTCGGGGAATGAAAGGAGTTTGGATAGTCCGGTGGGAAGTTCATCCTTGGGGCAACCCCGTAGTGTTCCATAGGAAATCCCCTTTCGGAATAAGGTATATCATCATCTAATCGTAACTTCTTAGGGGGGACGTGAAAGGCAGAACCCCCTGCAGAAACCCTTAGAGGGTCCCTTAGAGAAGTGCGCCCCTGAAAGGAGCCTACGTTTTTAATGTTTTTGTTTTCATCGCTTGGAAGACTGTTTTGGTGGTTTTCGTTTCCCCTCTTGATACAGTTGTTTTGATCATGTCGTAGCCCCCTGTGGTGGCCAGGTAAGGATTTCTCGCGACTGAAAAGAAGATCATTTATGGCGTCTTGTGCAAACGACTGCTGATCATCGAGAGCCAGGTGAAGTTGTATACCCAATACGTTGCGGAGGGCTCCTTCGTAAACATCAGCTAAACTGCAAAATAAAATAATAAAATGGCTTTTTAAAGACTGCTGCATACGCTCAGATAGACATATGCGCTGCCGCGCGCGAGTAATTTCGAGAGAGGCACAAGCGTGCACGCATTTTTTCGCGTCAGTCCGACAATGTAATGATCAATAAAATCAAGAAATCATAAAGTGCATTATAATCTCTTGATAACATATCACAAAAATTGTGTTTTTTCTTCAGGCCTCTCATCATCCACTCCCAAATTTAATATATCAGTCAATAATGATTTTTTACCCATGCAACTTTTTGGCACTAAACAGTGTCCTTTAGGAGTTGGATGACTCAGAAAAAATTACCGGTGAAAACGAACTTCACAGCTCATGCCATAAATCTAGCATTAATATAGTTCAGTTTCCCAAGAAATTTCGGATTAGAGCGCTTGCTACATGTGCCAAGATACTGTGCTGTAAAACTTTGAAAGCAGTTTTCCGGTTTTCGCTCAGATGATGAAACCTTGCCGGTGTAAAAACTTTTGATGTGTTCTTTGCCTATGAAAAATAGTAATTAAACTGTACAACAAAACAGACTGCATAACATAAAAGATAAATAACAAACACTTATTATGTCTCGGAAAAAGAAAGCAATTATGTACAAACGTATTCATTAATCACACGAAAAAATAAAACGGATAACCATGGCAAGGGCCAAATTAAAAAAGAAAAAAATAATAATTAATATTTTTTAATACAATGTAATTTCAGAAAATGATTTTTTCTCGAAAATCTCAATCATTTCAGAGGCTGCTTTGACAGAACTCGTTTCCTACGAGCACTCTCCGTATTTAACCTCAGCAATCTGGCGCAATCATAAACATATTGGAAAGCATCTCAGCGAAGCTTTGAACATAACCTTGGCGAGTTTACACATTTGTGCCAAATTATTACTTTGATCTTAGAGCGTTAAAGTTTCTCACTGATCATTACTAAGATTAAAAAAAGGCACATATGAGAGTGTAACCAGAAGAAAATAATATTTAAAACGGGAGGAAGCCATTCATTGATAAGAAAATCTCTGTGTTGTACTTTTCCCTCGGGGGGAAAACTAAAAAAAAAAATATTTTAATTTGCATTTCCAGCTTTTTTTCTTTTGCTTATACCGTTTTGAAAAAGTAACTACATAAGCCGACACTTTACTTTAAATAAAACAACAACAACAACGTACAGAGATGAGATATATGAACCGATTAAAAGGAAATATTCAATTTTAAACCGAAAACACCAAAATCGAAGCGGTTCTCGGAAAAGTTTAAAATGGCTTCCCTTAAGCTCGGAAATTTATCTTTAAATCACCTAAATGTTATCATAGAATACACTAGAATAATGCTGAAATTGATGCTCCCCGTTCTCTTAAGACCTTTCCATGTTGCTCTGAAGTAATTATAAATATTATATCTTATGATTTATTTCGGCTTTTTCAAGGTAAAGAAAAAACACCCGTTAATTTTTAGCAGCACTGTAAAAAAGCTCATCTTTGATGTCAATTTGATTTGCATTACTTGCTAAAAATTCACTGCCTTTTTTTTCAAGGCGACAAATTATGAATGCCTGGTACCTGTTTATATGTAGATTTTGGTGGCGCGCAATATATTTTTTTTATTTATTTGTTGCATATGCATTAGTTACGCAGCTGTATTTGAATAGTTGCTCGTTACAACTTGTTTAGCGTGTAAAACAAAACAAAAAAGGTTCCTGCTATTTTTAAAGAGATTTTGCTAGCCCCATCTGCCCTTTGGAGAGCTTAACAAAGGAGAGCGTGCATTTGAGAGGATGAATCTTTCGGAAATATTTCCGATAATATTACAAGTAATGAGGTTTACCCTGAGAGT